TATTTCCATCATCTACCACTCTTAAAGCATTCATCAACCAATCTCCAACTTCATATTTGTGTAAAACACTCCATGCCTATTCACCTTATCATATGTTTTTTCTGGATCAATATAAAATAAACTTTATTTCTCATATTAATTTTTCAATGACCTACTGAACAAAAAAAATCTGGTCTCTACTCACTTCTCTGCCAGTAAAAAAAGCTGCACTGCACTTCCCAAATCTTTTTCATCTATCATCCTATTTCAATCAGTATTCTGCCAGTTTCCTAGCACACTGAACAAACTAATTTGCTTCTGACTGAGTCAGTAAACTGCATATACCGCCCAGCTGATAGGATGTGGGTAACCCCATACTGGCTTGCAAGGTAGTCTCTAGAGTTTGCTCTAAATCCTAGTTTGCTCAGAATATTGTGAGAATACTTGTGCAAAGCTGGGATTTGGTTGTTCTTGTGACATACTATGCCAAATTATGCCAAAACTGACTGGTGCTGTCCTTACCATTTGTAGGCAATGTTGTAAGTAGCACAGCTACACCTTCTCCATCACTAAAAGGCATTCCTGTGAAAGCTGACCTATACAAATTATACGACCAGTCCTTGACTTACAAGGCTTTCTGGAATTTGCCACTAGGGATAGCACTGGATTTAGGTCTATGAAGTATAAATTCATCTGTTCCATTAAACTTTTAATCTATTGACTTCCATTAGTTTTGCCTGAAGATCTTTACACATGTGATTATGTTTATATTCTGCTCTTTCTCTGAGAACTCAATGGTATTTTTTCACTCCAAAATTATATTCTAGTGCCTTGAATACATTTTGCTGCCTTTTGTTCCAGCTGCATTATTTTATGTCAAATTATAGTATAATTGTATTGTCAAAGGCTTTCACGGCCGGAATACGATGGCTGGTGTGGGTCTTCCGGGCTATGTGGCCGTGTTCTGGAAGTTTTGTTTCCTAACATTTCGCCAGCATCTGGGACCCGCCACATACCACTAGAGGCGGCGCAGCCCACACACACGCGCGTCGCTGTTCTGCTGTCTGCCCACGGTCGCTACTGACCGCGC